AGCTCTCACTTGTATATCTTCTTCTCTCCTCATGTAACAGTGGCCTCGTTGAGGCTGTTGTGTAGAATGGTGTACAGCCCTCTGCAGGCTGCAGCTACTGCATGCTTGCTGAATATGCAATTACATCAAAAGTGTAATTTCTGTATTTATATATGTCAAAGTTTCAGGTCCACACTGATAGGCCCTATGGCTAGCAGCATCGGGTGGTTTTTTTCCCCTGTGTAGTCCGTGCAGTGGAATGGTCCATACTGGAGAACGTGACCCTGAAAGCGCTGTATGGAGCAGGTGATTAATCAGTGTCCTTGACTGGTTTTAGGTCAGAGCTGGAGTCGCTGCTGCTGTGCTGTGGAAGAGTCTGTTTCTGTTCATGTGCTCTTGGCTAAAACACAACTGACAACCTCGTAGGCGGGGAAAGGTGCACAGCAGTCGGAGGGGAAGGATGGCGGCTGACGTGTAATGGAAATGAGTAGAAAACACGTCACCACTGTGCCAGTGGGGTGTAGGCACAGGGTATTCAGAAAATGGGCTTCATCAGCATTATCTAATGATTTTCAGATTCTGCTCCAAGAAGTTAATATCATTTTAATCATTTGTAACTTAAGAATTCCCTGGCCTTAAAAGTTACATGATTTTGTAACAGGTAACATGTTTTATGTATGATGAAATATTTAAAAAAGGTCTGCAGGAAAAATAACTGCTGGTTCTGTTTAACCTGCAGTGTATTGTGTACATTTATTCCTTCATGAGGATTCTTTGTATTTCTTTTAAAGTGGAATTTAAAATACAGAAAAGATATTGTCCAAGAATTGAAATATGAAAAATTGCGGTAGTTGGTTGTTGTTTACTTACAATTTTTTTCTGAAATTTATAATTTTCTAGACCTAGAAATGTGGTTTTAGAATGCTGGAGTAGTGCACAAATACATTATTCAGCCTATTCTGCATGAACGGGTTAGCTGTAAGAAGAAATACTATCTACATCTGTGTCAGCATAAAATATGTGCATATGCAACTGTGCAATGGCTTTAAATGCTTTCCTTGTATAACTCAACCGGTTTTTGGTGGAGTCATCAAAGATAAATTTTAACTAATATCTACAGGCAGGGCTTCAGCAAATAAAAATCTCCTAAATGTGCAGTGGTAGAAAACAGAAATATAACAGCCTTATAGAAATCGTTTTATCATTTATGCGCTGATGGCCCCTATTCTAACAACTCTTTACAGTAACTTCTTTGGAATTGTTCACAAACCCATGAAGTCAAGTCAAGCATTTCCGTCTGGCACCGTACCTCCCAGTTTCACGTTAGAAACAGTATAGTGCATGAGTTCAAAATACCCTGATGAACAACTAACAGATTCAATTTTGGCTGTATTTTTTTTCCCCGCTTATGGCAATAGTCATCAGATATTCCTAAAATCTTTTTAGCCTCTGCCATACTGACAGGAGGGATGCCGCAGGGAAGGAAACTGAAGTGTCAGCTCTCCATGCCCTGGTGGACTGGAAAGCTGGGCTTGCTGCTGAATGATAATACGCTGCCCTCCTACAAACATTTCCTTGGCGATCCTGGGCTGCGCGATCGTGTGTGAATAGCATTCAGATTTGCCACCATCCTGAAATGTTATTATCTCAACACAAAAAGCCAATATAATGATGTGGGAATGTAGATTCAGGGATGCAAATCTTCTGCGAGTAGTGAGTTATGTATATTACAAAGAACCTTTTCTTTTTCCAAGGAGATTTTGCTTTGGTTTAGCTCAAGTAATTGACTGACTGTAAGCTCCTTAACTTTTTCTCATAGTGCAGAGCTGGAATTTTTGCTGTTCATTTCGAGGCCCAAAGTGGAAGTCTTCAGCATAGCTATTGGAAGGCTGCAAAATGTGTGCTTCTCATGGTAAGAGAGAGAGAAGAATATAGGATTTTAATTGACATTTTGTTCTGAAATTCCCCTCTCCTTTCACACAGAGCATCATCCCCCCTTTTCATAGTATAGCTACCTCGTATTTGTAGGTGCAAATGTGTAAAATATCAGCACAGTCCCAGATATGCTATAATCTAGCAAATTTTATTATTAGATCTTTAGGCTGAAACCTGTCCTAAGCTGTGCGAAAGATCCATGGACAGACAGTTTAGACTATGAATCTCAGAAGAAAGGTATGCTAAAAAGGGAATCATATGCCACCTGAGCTGCCGGATAACTGATTCTCTCTCAGCGAGAGAGGTGTTTTTCTCATATCTGAAAATTAAGAATTGGAGAGAGTTCAAAAGTAGTGTCACTGCTAATGGAAGGACTGGCATTATAGATTTGCAAGGAAAGATTAAAAAAAGCTGTATCCAGGTTAGATAAGTAACAGAAAGGTTCATCAATAATTGAAAGGTGTAAGCCCCAAAGTGAGAATATTTAGAACTGAAAAAAAAAAAATAAAAATAGTAAAAATAAACGCATTAAAGAGCACTGAAAACTGTTAGACTGAGGAGCAGTTCCATAAAGAGAGTGATTGCAAGCATGACTTATGTTTGCTTCATGGATTTGAATTCCCTAGATTTGTAAATGGATAGTGCAAAAATGCTGAAAAGGGTGTCTTTTATTGCATGGAGCAATCGTGTGTTGAAGGTAAATGGCTGGGATGATCCCTTCTGGCTCTTCAGTCTCTTTCCTGCCCCGCGTACTTTAACCAAGGCTCACTGTGGTCTTATCTACAAAATGTAATATCTTTGTGGGAACGTGAACTGTGATGTGATCGGGTCCGCTCTAAGGATGTTATATATACCACTTCATCACAGATATTATTGACAGTAAGTGCTTTTACTACTTTTATGTATTCTCACTGCAAGTTGTTTTACAGCAAGGCAGCCAAATCAAGAGCATTTTTCCTGACCAGCTGAACAGCTGGTAAGTCTCTTTACAAGCACTTAGGTGATTTCAATGTGGTAGGACATTCAAAGGGTGGGCTAGGACAAAAGCGGGTGTCAAAATATAACCCACTGCTCTCGCCAGCACCTCAAAGGTTATCTCCCAGCACGTAAAATTACTCATCTTTTTGAATCCCACTTTTCCTTAATTCCTTTGTTTGGAAGGTCTATCTGATCCTTTCCAGGATTCATTTCCCCTCTTCTGATCTTCTGCTTTTTGTCTCCTGTTTCCCTCCCTTGCTGCCTGCACATCATGTTTCTTTTTCAGACTGAGTCACTATCCTTTTAAATGCTCCTAGGAAGGGCTTTTTTTCCCAGTCACCCTGTCTCTCTCTTTGCCAAGTGGTGCCTGCAGGAAGGTCAGAAGTGCCCTGATACAAACCCAAGCTAGGAAGAGCTATATGAGTTGCAGTGCCTGTAAGACAAACACACAACTTGTATTGTTTGTTAGTGGTGAGTTCACTTCTATCCCTTATTCCCTGGCCATTTAGATAGACCTAAAACCTCCACTGGGAGGCCAAAAAAACCCATTCTTGACGTTTTTCAGAGCCTGGAGATTCAAACTGGCCCAGCCCTGCATTTCTCTGTCTGTGTGTGTCCGTGTGTGTGTAATTTGAAAAGAATTTTTTTTATCCTGCCAATCACTTGGAGTCCACAGGTAATATGACTCCCTTTCTGCTCAAAAATCTGCACAAATCCTCCCTGTACTGTGCCTACAAATGGAAAAAGGAAGTGTTCCCTTTCCAGGCCTGCAGTGCCTAATTCAGATTGATTATGCATGAAAAGGAATGTGTCCCAAATGCAGTCGTTCCTTGTGCACTAGATCTTGTGACCAAGCAGCCGGTGTGGCTTGCTCGAGTAGCTTTTATATGTAAACAGTCTTTAAAAACATAATCTACTTTGTCAAAGCCTAATCTAAATGATGTACTGACATTGCTTATTTTGATATGCTGACTTGGTTTTGAATTCTCTCTGGATTGCCTGGCCCCAGATGGCCGTTTTGTGTTTTGTTTACTTTTCACTTAGCTGTCACGTATTTGTTCCCATTAGATGTGCAAAGTCAATGGGCTCAGCCTAGTTTTACAGCTTAGTTGGCTAAATCACATAGGGAAAGCACTGAGTGAAGCGAAGCAGAAGGTCAGGAAAAAAGAAGTGTGATTCTTCAGATCTGACATAGAGACCAACGAAAGCAGGAACTAGTAAAAGGTGTGGTAGAGCAGCTAGAGATTTTTATGTTTTTTCAGAAAAAAAGTGATTTAAATGGAAAGTATAAATTCACTGAAAGAAGGAATTGAGGATTGAGTCTCTATTTTTAAAAATTGCTTCTGAATAAATTCAGAGAATTTGTATACATCCCATATATTTAAATGAAAAATCTGGATTTGTTTCAAATGTGAGTGGACAGTAAAATGTTACTTTAAAATCTTTTCAATCTAATGAGTTGTTTTGGATTAATCTTAATCAAACTGTTTAAATGGCTTACATGATCTTACTGTACAAAAATCTTTGAAGATATGTGAAACCCTTCTTGCTGAGAAAAATAATCCCAAAAAGTCTACTTGGCATGATCTTGCCCACAATCATGCACAGACCCAAAAAGACAAATGGGTGTTCATGCCATCTACAGCAACCTGACGTGTGATGGAAATGTGGACCACCTGAACAGTGGTCTTCCAGATGGATAGCCATGTCTGCCCTCCCACGCTTCTCCCAATGTGAATACCTACCTTCCTTCTAAAAGCTGGTTTTCACGGCTCGAAGAAAAAGCTTAGTGGGGGATGTGGGATGGAATTCAGCATTGATAGAGGGAGCCTGATATTTCCTTCGTTCGCTGAAGAGGGACAGCACAAGTTTCCCAGACAGTGCTGTTTCATTGATGGCACATTGTTCTCGGATCACATTTCTCCCGTTTCTGCTGAGGTGCTCAGCCAAAGCACCGTATGGAACCAATCAGAGCGTGCTTTTTGTGCTGACAGCTGTTGGGCACCCAAACTTCACAGACTGTGCTGAAACTGCCATATTTTGAGGTGCACTGATCTACTCTTGGACTTGACAGTCCATGGTCTGAGCTCTTCCCTTGTTTACCGCAGGTGAAATACGGGAACTACGCCTTTGTATGGGACTCGGCGGTTCTGGAGTACGTGGCCATCAACGACGCAGACTGCTCTTTTTACACGGTCGGGAACACTGTTGCAGACAGAGGATATGGGATCGCACTGCAGCACGGCAGCCCCTACCGAGACGTTTTCTCACAAAGGTAAGGATTTGGAGGAGTAGGAGCAGGTCATAAGGGAAGGTCTCTCTCTCAGGTCTGAACACTTCTTTTAATTTTATTTTCTGTGAAGGGAAAACATCTTGTGCTTGCAATCCACTCGTTTCTTACATAGGCATTCATTTCCTCAGAGACATAGGATTACTCACTTTTCTAGAAACTGCATTAAAAATACTTTGTGTTTCTCTTATTTGAATTGTTCTTGTTTCATTTGGACAACATTAATGAGATAGACTGAACTTCATTAGCAGAAAAATGAGGAAAGAGTTGATTCCGTTGTTATAGAGGGACAGCATAACTCAACACTTCCAGTTACAGGAGCCTTTTCTTAAAGAGAAAAAAGTAAACTTGGACACTGATGTGAAAACTGAAGGGGATAAACAAGAACATTTGATGTTTCAGTGGAAAGACTTTTATTAGTACCCCAAAGCTTAGATGCTTATCCTACTACTCATCAATCTCTTGGATTACAAAAGTGAGATGTCTGGAGATGCTTCTGGTACTGTGTTTCTACTAGGACTGGAAATACTAAATTAGTTGTATGTATTGTGCCTTTGCAGTATTTTTGCTTCACTCTAGTACTGATTCCTAAATCAGGATGTAAAAAATAATCACACATTTTAAAAGTGTAATGTCTACGGTCTGGCTTTTAGGAGAAGGTGTGGATTAATCTCATAATCCTTTTTCATTCTGAACCTATTCTCTGAACCTGGTTTCTAGTAGTTTGTGTTAGATGTGTGTAACAAAATTTTACAGTGGCTGTGATGGAATTTTTTTTGTGTGCTTGCCTTAATGAATGTGAACCATGATGTCATACGAGTACTCTTCATCCAGGCTATTAACTTTGCCTTTAGTCCATAGAATAAGGTAGGGGGAAAAATGTAGTTAGGAAGTAACAATATGCAGATTCAGAGGAATCAATGTCTGCTCACACGTACTGCATGAACAGAGAAGGCTTGAATTCTTTGAATCTCTTCTACACTGGGAGTGGTTTGGCTGAGTTTTATGCTGATGTAGCAGTAACATAATACAGAAGTTCATAGGATCAATGAAAAATTTCAATGAACATATATGCTTTATGTATTACAATTAGCATTATAGGCAATTATTTACTGAATACTTTAATATTTTAATATTGCAGCCATTACCAGGCTGGCTCTGCTAAAAATCTCTGGCACTGTAATCTTTGGCCTGTCAAAGCAAAACAAAGGAGTAAAATTGCTGCTTGTAATCTTTCTAAGAAATGCTTCCAGCTGTTGGAGTTCTCAGGTGCTACTCAAAGTGTTAAGTCATCCTCTTCAGAGCATCACCCATGTAAGCTTGAGTACAAAAATTTGAAGACATAAGGGAATTTCATAGGCGGTGTCTTTATTACTAAATACGGTGAATCTGCCAAGTGGCATGGCATGGGTCATGCCTGCACAGATGAACATTCCTCATCCTCACCGCTACTGCTCTTCAAGTCAAGGTGGATATATCCAAACTGCCCCTTAGGAATTGCTTCTGACATCATTTATATACTTGTTACGGTTCTCAGTACATGGGGGAAATGGTTGTTGCTGGTTCTGGTAAGCGATTACCTTCTTCTTCGCAGTAGTCAGCAGCTGGAGAGGCTAGATTACATCTTCTTCTGATACACTGCCTTTAGCGACTTCTGGATCATTGGTCTGTGCAGACCTGACATTTCCAAGTACAATCTTTTTTCGTAACAAAATTTTGCCATTTCAGTGTATTATTATATCTTGAAGGTGTAGGAAAGCAGAAAGAAAGATAAAAATTTGCACATATATAGCTCTTTTTATCTGAGGATCTTTGAAGCAATATTTAAATATTAGCATCTCTTAATGGAAAGTAAATGCCATTTCCATTTAATGATTAGGGAATCCATAGCATAAGGGGACTTAATGGACTCCCATGGCCAGATGTTTTTCCCTGGTGGAATTAGGGATCATGGGCACTCGTTTCCTCATTTTCAATTTCCTGCTATAGTTATCAGAATTGGGGTGGATGAAGAAAGAGATTATTTGTGAGATACTGGGCCATAGGAGGGTCTGGATGGATACACAAAACTTAGCGCTGATGAGAAAGTAACTCATTACATAATCAGGAGTGATGGTTGAACAGAGAAATTGGAATTTGCTTGGAGTGGCAATACCTACTGGCGAATTTAGAGAGCCTGAGATATATATTCTGAAAATGTGTGTGCTGCCTCTTAATTTTTTATTTCTGTATTATGAAAGCATATAATATTGTACTTTTAATGATGTCCATAAATACAGACTTATGGTTTGAAGCTCTGAAACGCCATATAAGAAAGAAACACATGAAAGAGAATGCTTACAAGATAGCTTACAAGGTTTTGTTCTAAAAACCCTTCAGTACTGTTCCTTCTGATTACTTCCATGTGGCTTTCACAAATCATCCTTACTTTTCTTCCTAATGAAAAGGCTGAACAACCTTCAGCTGCTGCAGCCTGCATGCTAAATAGAGAGGGAAATAGATTTCAGTGTATAGGATTAGGAAATGTTCACATGAATATGTCACATTCTTTAATGCAGTAGGGAGCTGGTTTGAAATATGTTGGCATTTCTTGATCTTTCCAAAAATAAATGTATTTATGTGAAAATACAGGGCTTCTCTTTTATGAAATTTCATATAAACCATAAGCTGCACGGTGTTAAATCGCTAGGGTGCAGCTGTAAAAGGTCTGGCAAGCTTACAGGAGATTTTGGTCTCAGCACAGGAAGTACGGGCACGAGTTTAAGGCTTTTCACTACTTTTTTTGAACATTCAGGCAATTCCCAGAGAAACAGGAAAAGAGATAGAGAGGTGTAAACACCCACCCCTACCCCCCGATGCTATGGGGCATGAGTTGCAGTCAAGACAACACTGTGATAAAGTTTAGGCATTTGGGATTTTCAAAAGCGCACTGTGTTTGGGACGTCTGCTATGTTGATCTCCAGGGGATAAACACATGCAAAGTACTGTGGCCTTCGGGGACTGCAACAATATTCGCCTGCTATGTGAAGTACTCCAATCTCTACAGGAGTTTACCCATCAGTTATGCTACTTAAGAAAGGCATTAAACCTGTGACCAGTTTGAAATGCTGAGGTGCCAAATCACATCTGGAGCCTTGCAAAAATTAAATTCCCTGACGTCATTTCCTCCCATAACTGATCATGATGGCATGCCCCTTTATACCGCAGGCAGTTTGTGTGGTGCTAAAAAGAAGCCTGAAGCAACCGAGGACTTTGTGAGAACGAAAGCCGTGGTGAAGGTCCTAGTGGCCGTGTACCCTGCGTGCGGGGTGTTGGACCGCAGCTGGTGACCTCCTGGCTACCTGGTACCCACCGCACTGCAGAGGCATGCAAGCTGCAGTGCCCCAAGCATGATGCAGAGCCGGTGCTGACAGCCGCCCTGCTCCCAGCCTCAAACAGCTGCTACCTGTAAGCACCTGTGGGTTTGCACGGCATGCAGCCTTACCAGTATGGAATGAGCCTGTGGTTACACGGAACCAGAAAGTGAAGAATCTTGTATTAGCCTATGGCTAAATTAACATAAATGGTTCAATATATACTTGATTAGAAATTGATGCAATTAAGCATGTGCTGCCATAGAGGTACACTTTCCTGCATTGATTTATATTGTGTTTATTATAATTTTACAAGTGTAAGGTGATGCCTGTACCCTTTAGAGAGAAGAGTGAGTGCTCCCACATATTTGAACTGATGCAATTTAAAATCAGAATTATTCTTACAAATGCAAGTTTGTGTATAGTGAAATGGTAGAGGAGAGTGTGGCAAAATGTATGTCACTTAGAAACTTCATGCACATTCTCTGAGCTTTTAAAAATTTAATTCCAGCCACACCACAGAAGACGAATCCCTGTCCAGGATTATTCTTTCCAGACTCGTGGGCTTTTTTTGCAGGTACGGTTTAGTGAAAAAGAAGGGTAACCGACCGAAAGCCCTGTAAAGAAGCTGGTCATTGAGACCTTTCTTTTCCACACACAGAAAAGCTCTTTGAGGCCAAAACAAAGGCATGAGCAGCAGTGAGTGGTCTGACTGATGAATGAGATTGGCTTTTTTTCTGTATTGGGATGGCATAGTGGCCAGCTGAGGTCCCACGCAGCACCTGTGATCACTCCCTGCCTAATGTTTCCTCTGAAGACAGGGGCTTCAAATCCTTCCTGAAAATAGGTGTGTGGCTGGAGCACAAATAATAAACAAAATAATCTGGGTACCATTTGAATGATGGACCTGTCATAGCATTCTGATGACTCTACTCATATGTTGCAGATCTTAACAAACACGCCTGGCCATGCCATTAGGAAGCCAGTCGATGTGCTCAGGTAGATTGCTGTCCCCTTTTCTTTGCCACAAGACTTAACCTTCTTGAGTACCATCAGCCTCCAGGCAGCGTGTCAGCTTTCTCTCTTTATATCTTTGTCTTTCAAGGTAATGACAGGGGCTTTAACAACAGGAACTGCCAAATTTCCTAGGAGAGTTTGAAGGGGACATGTCATTTAGTTCATGAGGAACTGTGTGCTGACAGTAAATTTGACACCTGTTAAGAAGTCTTTTCAGCCCTAAACTTTAAAACTTCCATTGCACCCCTGGGAGGTATAAATACAATTCAGACTCTTTTCGGAGTATTTCACAGGATGTCTGTGCTTCCCACCATGTAGCAGCAATGGCTCAGGCGCAGCACTGGTGCCTGGTTTCTGGTGGGGGTTGAGGTGGCGATGGCAGCCGAGAGCTTGGATCCCGCTCACGTCCTCGCTTCCTCTGCTGGCTGACTCTCTTCTTCTGCACTACAGTTCTGGCTACACAGCACATTAGAGGAGGAGGAAACACTTATTTCCCCCTAATGTGAGAGGTCAGTGGCTGGCTTTTCACTTAAGTAACTAGAAGCTGTCAACACTCAGTACCACTGAAAAATCAAGCCGTAATTGTTTTGAATTCCTCATATCCCAAGAGCATCC